TATCGCTTTGCAAAAATGTCATCAGCACAGAAACTCCAAAGCACACGAAAAAGCACACAAAGCATGACTTTTACAGCAAAAAAAATTTCTTGCTGGACCAGACGCCCCCTAGGGGACAGTATGGGGTGGTCTGACGTGTGGATGAAGGCTGACAACTCAGTTAGTGCAGACAGGGCCAGATCATTAAATTCATTCTTCAGTGTGTTTTCTTTTATATATATAAAATTATTTCATTTAAAAAATTTCAGAAGCATGTGACAAGTAGACCAGTTTGTTTGAGCTATATTAGTTTATTGAAAAAAATACATTAATATACAGAGCCATAGCATCTTATAGATCTAAAAAAAAAAAAAAAACTTATAAGGAAAAAAAATCTGTTCAAAATTACTATTTACAACAAATTCAAGATGACTTTTACAGTAACTGCATTTTATTTCCTTGAGAAAGTGAACAAAAAGACTTTGCTATGTGCTGTGAAATGGATGTTTGGTGCAATTTCACAATCATTTGCTTGGAAGGTTCAAGCCAAATGCTGTAGCTGCACTGACAGATTTAGACTGACAATATCAAACAGTATGAAGAAAGTAACATAAATTGGGATACAAATGTGCCAATAAATACAGCTTTGTGAATCCCTTGGGGTAGTTTTGGGGCCTTTCTTGGCAACCCACTGTATACTTTTCCAGCACTAACCTATGTATGAAAAGAAGTGCAGTATGGCCACAAAGCAGAGAGCAATGTGTACTAAATGGTCCAAGAGCCTGCTCCTGAGAGCCCCTCTGGACCCAAAGCGGTGAATGAGTTCATGCTACATGCATGGACGCATGGCCTGGCTCCCAACAGGACTGCTGTCCATTGAATAACATCCCATAAAACACTAAGACAAACATCCAAACACATTCACATAAGGGTGTATCACATAACGTCATGCAAAAAAATTAAGACACTATAAAATATGCAATTATTTACAAAGGGATAGCCACATATCAGTGTCTAAACTTTTAGAAATTTGTGGAATAGAAAGCTATGTAAGTACAGATGAGAAAGTTATGTAAGTACAGATGATAAATAAAATATGCATTGTTTTACACATCAAAGTATCAAGTTGTTTTGAATTATCTCGACTTATTAACTAAATGCCATGTAGGGGAATGGCTGATTTCAAATTCTCTTGAAATCCGATTAAATCTCTTATCAGTTTCACAAGGTGCTACGTTCTTCCTCCAGAAGGCATCAGAGAACTGTTTTGATCTCACCTTGGTGTTCACTCTCACTTTAACAGTCAGGACAATACCTAGATAAAAGTCTGAGGTTTAAAGAGGGAAAATTTTCTTCAAAGTACAGCATAATGATGATTTAATCGTGTGCATCTTTTGTGATTTATTTTTTTGTTATTGTTTGATGCAAGCAAAGCCAAAGAGCTCCAAGTTTGATTGCATGTTGTTGCTATACAGAAGTATAAGAACTACGTTCAGAAGTATCATTTAATTAGGTGCTTTCATCCATTACTACAATGAATAAACTACATAATAAAGACTGAGGAAGACATCAGGAAGGTCAGGATTAAAGCTTGGGACAGTTTGTAGTGGCATTAATGGCATCAAGCTGAGGGGTTGTTTTTCTAAAGCATGAAGACAGAAACTAGTCAGAGGTGAGGTAGATATGGACAGATCTAAATGTAAGACTATCCAGGAAGAAACCCTGTTATCAACTTGTCAATCTAAAAGACTTCAGATTAGAGCAGACGTTCACCTGCACTGCAGGTAAACAGCCCCAACCATACAGCAAGAGCTGCAATGGCTTACATCCAAACACATCCATGTGTTAAAACGTGCCAGTCAAAGCCCAGATTTAAGTTTGAGCTTTTATCTTTGCAAAACGGTATCAGCAAAAACCTTGTAGTTTTAAAATTTGCAAGGCTGGTAGAGAAATACCACACAAAACTGCAGCAATAAGTCCAAAGAAAGGTGCTACTGCAGAATGTAGAAGGGGGAACACAGATGTAGGCAACACTTTCTATTTTTTGAAAAAAAAAAATTTTCTTCCTTCTCAGAAATGTGCACTACTTTGTCATGACCTATTAAATAACATAGCAGACAAATGCTGAATATTGAGATTTGTGGAGTGTCAAAATGTGAAAAAGTATAAGGCACCAAATTTAATAGCAAACACACTGACAGTCATAGTAGCAAGGTTCTTGCCTCAGTATCTCCCACTGTCAGATCAAGCTACTACAAATACCACGTTGTACTCACTGATCCCAGCAATGAATTGGTGAGTGGAGGGGTGTGTAATTGCATGCTTAAATGCCTGAGAATTGGACATCCAGTTCTGCTGAGCTGGTGCTTTCTGTGTGGCCTCATTGTTGAGACAAGCAGTCATGCAGTTCTTTGAGTCCCAGTCAGCGTTCATGTTGGGTTAGAGGTGGTTCGGAAGAGCAGAAGGGGGGGATTCTTTGTCTAGTAGCCAGATATTTTATTGCAAGATAAAACACTTTGTGCGTGTCCTCCAGGCCTGGCAGGAGAACTGTGGTTAATGCCAGAGTAGAGTAAATCCGCAGTCATCAGAGGGTCTTCTTTTTTCTGTTCTGACCCGTGGTTTAACATTCTTGTTGACAGCCAAATAATCAGCTGTTATAAAAGGGCCTGAGGAGCCTCTGATGGCAAGACAGAAACTAGAAAAAAAAAACAAAAAAAACCATCAAGCAAGGATTGCACTGCACACATTGTATACTTGTGCACAAACATGCACAGATGCCACTGTCAGTTATACTTTCTGGTTGATGTGCTTAATTTGACCAAAGCGGACAAACAAAAGACCCCTCTATGCGACTGCAGTGTAATGAGAGGCAGTTTGATCACAACACAGTCCTGTAGAGTTTTCCATTTCACTGCAGGACAAAAGGAACAAGCCATCAAATTCAGGTCATCTGAGACTTTTACTTACAAGCAGAGTTGACGTTTAAAAACTCCAGTCATAGGAACATTAGAGAGACTGTGCATGAGAGCAAGAGCAGCTGAAACCTGCAGTAAGAGAAATTGCTTCGGCTTTTGTTTCCAAGTACTTTCTTACCTGCAAATTATAATAATGAACTGAGTCTTCAGCCATTTTAATCACATTTTATTGTAGTGAATAGCTTAGTTTACTAACCAACTTTTCACTCATATAAGACTTGGAGTTGAGAGGTATAGTGGAGGGATTTATTTTCAATGTCACATTAAGCATACAGGTTTTGTAAATGTTATGTTAAAGAACCTTAAAGCTGCAGTATGTAACTTTCATCCTGTGATGACAGTTTGTTATGAGACAGATTATCTATAAAAAGACTGATCTGCTCCACATCCTACCTGAGCCATCTGAAGAAATGCATAGTTCCCAACCAAAAACAGCTAATCAGACCCAGAAGGAAGGTCTTAACAGTATCCGGCAATCAAACAGGGGATATGTTTGACATGAACCAAATGCATCAGTCCAGAATTTAAAATATCTTACATGCTGTAAGGCATAGAGGTGGAACTATTGTGGCATGCAGATTCTTTGCTGCAGTATTACAGGCTCACTATCATAATTCCAACATGAATTAAACCAAGTATCAGAGGGAGCATGAGAAAAAAAATAAAGCAGAACAGCACTCTGAAACAAGACTGTGCATGTATGTTGTAGTTGTGCATGTTGTGTTTTTAATCTGAATTTGAAAGGTAGAGCCCATGTAATCTTTTAACTTTGCAATATGTTTTTAAATTGACAGTTTGGATGGTAATACTAATTATGTAAATGCTTAAAGCAGACATGCAAGGTCTGTTTTTGTGAAGTGATGAGTTTAATAGTCAACCCTTCCCTTCATGACAGAAAACCAAAGTAGTTGCAGCCCACTTAGAACAATCAGTCAGCAACATAAAAAAATTGTTTGTGGAAATATATGTTTAAAAGAACTTTGTAAGAACAGCCAGAGATTTGTCCCAACTCTCTGTGGTTCACTGGGACTGTATTATAGCAAACATGACCAGAAGAAACCCAGATGAGTCAGAGAACTAGTGTGTGAAAGATCCAGACCATCATGTTTGACATCAATGTTTGGGATTTCTGTATGAGAACATCTGCAGCTGCTGCCCTATAAATTTTCCAGTGTAGAGAAAGCACAAAATAACCCACTATTTTGGTATGGCAGTATACCATGACAAGAAGTGGACCTAGACGTTCCTCATCTGCAGCACCATCGACAGGGCTTAGGTGAAGTGAAATTGAGGATAGAAAACTGCAGCCTTGTTGTGTGTTTGCAAATCTATTCAGCATGAAAACAAGATAAACGCAAGATCCATCACATTTGACTTAAGAATGAATGTCATAGTGGTGTTGTTATAGCCATAGTAATGCCTCTTTTGTTGGAAGATTCCTCTCATGACATACTTTTTATTTTTAATCTGTTGATTATTTTATTTCTAAAAACAGGGATTAAAACAACTTGGTAGTTAACAAATGTTTCTTTTTTAACCTTACATTTAATAATATGTTGCTTTTGCAAATGCAGGTAAACTGGAACAAAATTATATATTTTTATTGCATAATAAGAATTGTCACTTGAAATCCTGCATCCTGCAGAGAATGTTTCAAAATATTGATTTTTTTTCTACTGGAAGATACTCACCATGTCCCCTGGAGGGCTCCGTAATTTGCTGAGCAAGGAGAACGATTATTCGGAGCACTTTCACTATACGTACGCAACAATATTTTAAAAAAAATACATTAATTGTGACTGGAAAAACAATACATTTGAATTATGAATATATTCGTGTGATTTACATCTACCCACATGTTTACTTGTCATATTTTTCCAGGCTGTTAGATAAGTGTCGAAAGTGCGCCGAGGTTTGTAAAAATAGATAAACACTGAAAGCTGCAGCGGAGTTCTGTTTGCTCCTGCCTAGTCTGTTGGCTTTTTTATTTATTGTACGCATGTAAATAAGGAGAGAGAAGTAATAGCGACAGACTGATATACGATTAAATCTGTGTGACATGGCTGTCTGTTTCAGATTAAGAGGAGCGCTTTAATGTGCTGTTTGCTAAGCTAACAAAGCTAGCCCCTTCTTAGAGGCAGAAAACAACAGAGGAGCTTGGATGCAATCGGATGGCTTCAGCGTCTGCTGCTGTGAAAGGTTTACAGGACATTTTTTTGCTATACAGTTTTTGTTATTTTAAATTTTCCGAACCTGGACGCAGTCGTAATTTTTTTGCAGCTCTTGCTTTTAAGACGATGTACTTGTCAAACTTGATAACTGAAAACTGGAAGAAATATACAGTTAAGATATCGGGATGTTTGTAAATGTACATTTCTTGTAAGGTTGTTAGTTGGCATTACCTTTGGAAAAATGTCCATTCCATTTTTGTCATAATTAACATTTATTTGAATTGTGACAGTGTGTAATAACTATGTGTCTTTCAGTTTTTGAATTTTGCTCAAATGGATTAACTTTGGTAATATGCTAATATTAATACGCCTGTCTATTTGATTAATTTATTCTGTGATGCAGAATGGCGGGAAGGTGACTGTTGTCTTGCTCCGAGTTCCCCTGATGGCATCCTGAGAGAAGCCACCATACAGAGACTGACCTCCAGTACACAGACTAATGATACAGCATGGGTGATATTCAGGAGAGAGCCTGGAGAGGAAGAGCAGAAGCAGGAAGCCATATCTGTCACAAAACTTATGAGATCTGGCTTAAAGCAATCTATACAAGAGAAACCCGTGTTCCCTGGCAGCAACGCCGACACAATCCTCTGCACTCCTTTACATCTGAGGGATGAAGACAGAGTACCTTATACCATCAACAGATATTTAAGGGATTACCAAAGGGACGGGATCAGGTTCATTTACAACAACTACATGAGCTCCACTGGTTGTATCCTAGGAGATGACATGGGCCTTGGAAAAACTGTGCAGGTACAAGACATAGGCAGCAGACTTATCTTAGGAATTGTCTAAATGTAGGTTTTATCATTTACATATCACACTGTGGCTTTGTTGCTTTTAATCCCTCCACTTTTTTTTATTTTTTTTTTAAATCACAGATTATAGGTTTTCTTGCTGCTGTGTTGCACAAAACTGGGACATGGGAGGACGTAGAGAACAACAGGCCTCAGTTTCTCCAAACTCAGATACCCTCCAATCAAAGTAATCCTAGCAAGGTGGATATTAAAATATACAACTATAGTGTACAGCTTCTCAAATACCTTCTGCATTCAATTATGTGCCTCAGATTATAGTATGAGTTTGTCATCAAGCTGATTAAAGTGTTGTGTGATCCCAACCAGGTTTTTCTGATTGTGGCTCCACTGTCAGTGCTTTATAACTGGAAGGATGAACTGGACACATGGGGTTACTTCCAGTGTGTGGTGGTCCACGGGCTGAGGAAGGAGGAGGAGCTCGCGCGCATCAAGAATGGCCGCGTCGAGATCGCTCTCACCACCTATGAGACTCTCCGCCTCTGCCTGGATCAGTTTAATAAGTAATGAAAATACAGTGCTAATACACCTTTTCTGGTTGGATAATGTGCAGCAAACTCAAACATGCCACATGTAGCCATTGATAAGAGATGACAGATATGGAAGGTCGATGGACTGAAAATTTGTGAAATCAGCCAAACTTAAAACATAATTATAAAACCATTCAGAAAGCCCAAACAAAACCCGAACAACACTACTTGAAAAGCTCAGAATTAAGTCTTGCTTATTGAATGGTTAGTTAAACCAAGCTAGATAGGTTTTAAAACCCTTCCACATGGTTATATGATTAAGTTTACTGCTACAATCTGCTACAATCGTCTGATTACAACAGACATAATTTTAAGGCATGTTACAAACAAATCCAGTTCATACTTAGAATCCACTTTTCCTTCATATTTAATTGTTGTATTATTCAGTACAAACAAATTTGCATGAAGACACAAATAACAAATAAATGTGATGCTTAAGAAATAAAATATCTATGTCCTCCTCCAAAGAATCAACTGGTCAGCAGTGGTTGTTGATGAGGCTCACAAGATAAAAAACCCAGAGTCCCAGATCACTCAATCTATGAAGGAGCTGAGATGTAAGGTGAGAAAAAAAATGAGTATTTAATATCATAATGGATATTGTCTATCAACAGTTAATAATTGGTGATGGTTTTAGAAATATTAAGTAAAAGCACCATTATGCTAAATGTTTTCAGGCAAATAAACACGACAGCTGCTGTGGTTGTGCGTTTTCAACTAAGTTTTCAATTCCTGCGTTTCTCTTCCATCAGAACAGAATCGGTCTCACTGGGACCATCTTGCAGAACAACCTGGAAGAGCTGTGGTGTGTTATGGATTGGTGGGTTGACATGATTTTATTTTATTATGAAATAATATAATATTCCATATTATTTTATGTTAATTTTATGAATTCATGAATTCATACATGTTTATTCTTTTCAGGGCCAATCCAGGTTGCCTTGGCAACTTGGGGCATTTCAAGAACAATTTCTCAGATCCCATCGAAAAGGGGCAGAGGCACAGTGCGACCAAACGCGCCCTGGCTACTGGGAGGAAGACTGTTCGAGCCCTGGTGAGGAAGATTGCTCCTTTTTTCCTCAGGAGAACGAAAGCGCTCATCAAAGAGCAGCTGCCAAAGAAGGACGACAGAGTAAGTGTGGAGACCCTGAAGAGCATCAAATACCTGTTCGATCTCTTCTCAGTTTTTAAGACACTGATACCTTACTGAATCTTCTGTGGTATGTTTTGTCCCAGGTAGTGTACTGCTCCCTGACAGACTTTCAGCAGACTGTTTATCAGGCAGTGCTGGACACTGAGGATGTGACGTTACTGCTGAGGTCTTCAGAGAAATGTGACTGCCAAAGTGGACGCACCCGAAGGGGCTGCTGCTATCAGGTTAGTTCTTTTTTTTTTCTTCCCTCTTCCATGGTGTTACTGTTTATGATCTGTTTAGTTAAAGTTTAAAGTATAGACAAAACTATTCAAAGCATCTTGAAAATTTTGACTAATCGCTATTTAGAGTAATCCTCTTTTTCACTTAATACTTTTTTTTTGTTGTGGACTGCATACTGTCTTGCAGTTCTTACTAAGGTCCGATGCATCTTTTTGTTGAAGTTTACATTACAAACTGCCACAGTGGCAGTCTACCATTAATTAAATCAGATGATCAGTACTTTAATTTAGGGAAGAACCTGGCAAATTTGATTTTGTTTAAATCTCATTCGTACATTATGTTGGTTATATTAAGTTTTCTCCAAGCAATTAAAGATCATTTTCATTCCCAGAAAAACTCTCAGGGTGTTTATGTTAAGCATCTGTACTTTACCTACTTGGCCATATTGAGGAAGGTTGCCAACCATGCAGCCCTCCTTCAGTCTACTTCAAGCACCAGCAAGAAACAGGTATTGTTATTCTTGTTATTCTGCATCAGGTTAAACTCACTCGTTATTTTTTTTTTTATAATACTGTTGATTCAATTTATTTATTTGTATCTTATAGGAAAGGTATGTGAGTTCCGTCTGTGCTAAAGTTTTCCAGAGGTTCCCAGACTTTGTGCAGAGATGCAAGAATGAAGCCTTTGAAGCTCTTTCAGACCCGATGTATAGTGGGAAAATGAAGGTACCGCACTCGAGTGAAAACATTTCCATGCAATCTTCAGTGCTGTTGATTCGTAAGTGAATGTTTTCTTTTAGGTTTTGCAGAAACTTCTGAAGTACTATCTGCAGAAGAGAGACAAAGTGCTTATCTTTTCTCTGTCAACCAAGGTGAGAATTGTTTTTGAGTGCATTTGTTGATTTATCTGGTCTTACGCAGTTAAGTCTAAGACTTTTGTTACTAGTACATAAGATGTACAGTGTTTTGCAAGCGTATTCATATTTTGCCGATTTATTTTATTTTATTTTTTTTGTTCTGTTCTGTTGCATTGCCTCTGCTGTGAGATTGCAACTAGCCTGCAGTTTAAAAAAAGCTGGAATAATAGTTTTCTCATGACCTGCATTTCTAGGCATACCTTTGGGATCTTGACAGCAATTAGATCGGCATTGATAACTAGACTCTGCACAATCCAATGGCTGCTGTCACCTTATACCATCCAATAATATTTGTGGCCTCTGCGGGGTCATATTTTTATGACCTGCCTTTTGCTTTTTTGGGAAAAAGAGGTCATAAAGGTTACAGCATTGCATACTCTATAGCATATATAAAAATATACAGTCAGAGTTCCTAATGCTGTCCTTTAAGTATTGCTTTACATAGGATTTGTTTGTGTAGTGTCTTGTTTTTATCCTGTATAAACTCTTACCTTTTAATGAGTTGCATTCACGTCATGTGAAGTTATTTTTGTTCTCTTGATTTTCTTATATTAATGCCTGCATATCCTTTCAGCTCTTAAATATCCTGGAGAGTTACTGCATGGCAGAGGGACTGGATTTTAGTCGATTGGACGGAACCACCAAGTCCAGAGAAAGAGTCCAGATTGTGAAAGAATTCAACAGCTCATCTCACGTCAATCTGTGCCTGGTTTCTACCATGTTAGTGGGAAAATTATACAACTAATACAATTTTGAAACATCCTGTTAAGCTTTAAAGGGGAAATATTTTCCAACTAAAATATGTAAAAAGCATTTAACAAAAGAAGTGAGCCATAAATTACAGCAGAGTGATGGCATTTTGTTTTGAACAGCAACCTCTGGAATCAGAATCAAAAGAAAATTAGCAGTAGCTGGCTTCGGTTTGAGTTCATTCAGTCAAAAAGATTTATATTATGATTGATACAATGAGGAAGTCAGGAGAACTGTTATCAGTCAGGAGAACTCTGTAATTGTCAGAGGGATTTAAAAATACTTCTATGGTGAACTTAGTTTTGGGAATAACGTGAACAACCACCTTTCACATAAACTGTAATTTTAAAACCTCGGATTTCTGTCAGCATTCAGTTTGGATGTAATTTCTATTCTTTTTTCTGGTCAGCATTGTTGCTTTGAAGCGCCAGCCCCGGCATTTTTCCCTGAATGCTTCACATTAGGAATCCTCAAGTTTTTTTTTTGTTTTTTTTTTTTTTCACATATTCAGTGTTTGTTGACAAAAGTTTATTTCATAACTGATTAACTTTATGCTCACAAACAACAGTAGTGTTGTTGAATCTGTGGTCTGGCTGTTTACTCCCTGCTTGAGCAGTATGAACCAGTGTTTACTCTTCCTTCAGCTTTAGGTTGTTGATGGCTTTATATCAGTTTCTTTTGCCAGTATGTTTTACAATATAGCTCCCCTTTAAATAAATGTTTCTTCTTTTAGGGCCGGGGGTCTTGGTCTTAACTTTGTAGGTGCTAACGTCGTTGTGCTGTTTGACCCCACCTGGAACCCAGCCAATGATCTTCAGGCTATCGACAGGTAGCTTTTGTTCAAGATAAAACTTACTTAATATAATCTGTTATAACTTTTGCTTTCCTGGCCCATCAGACTATGTTCTTTGTACACAAATCATTTTATTCAGAAGCGTTGTGCATTTTAATGCTATTAATGTGATGGTTGTTTGTGTGTTTGTCTCTGCAGGGCGTATCGTATCGGCCAGTGCAGGGACGTCACTGTTCTCAGGCTGATCTCACTTGGGACTGTAGAGGAGGTTATCTACCTCAGACAATTATACAAACAGGTACAAAACAATTCTGGTATTCATTTCAATTATATTGTTTGCTGAAACCTTTTAGTTATGTTAGAAATGATGCATTAAAACTAGATGCATTGAAAGAGCACACACAGTAAGGTGCTGAGAGGAATTCATCAAGCTCTGATCAGTATTTTAAGAGTATTGTCTAATTTAAAGAAAATGTCTTGGGTTTTGTTCACAGCTTGGATTACTATCATTCAGTGTAAAGCAAATTTTTGAAGGACATTGGCTTTTAACATACTGACTCACATTTATCCTTTTTGTCAAACAAGTTTCTTGATCAGATTTAAAATATTTTGTAAATTCAGCTCATTTAAGTATGAAAAAAGATGTAAAATTGACATTATTTTCACTGGATTATGTGTAGTTATTTTGTTTTATTTTCTCCCTAACAGCAGTTGCAGTGCTCAGTAGTCGGTAAAGAGAGCGCCCGGCGGTACTTTGAAGCAGTACAGGGAAAAAGTGTCTGTAAAGGGGAACTGTTTGGGATCAAAAATCTGTTCAGGCTGCAGACAGAAGGAACGTGTCTCACCCGCAGGATTTTAGAGGTTAGACCATCAATATTTCTTTTACTGCTTCAATGTGTCACTGTGTGTTTTCATTTGAAATTTGCTTTTGTTTTCATTTTGATCATACTTTGGTTTAAAGGAGCCAAACAATCTTAGATTTCTGTACATTTCTCTAACAAACATTTCTTTGAGATTTCCAAAGGTCTTTCTAGAGATTTTCTTCAAGCATTTATTAAGTCATTTGTGGCCACACTAATAGTTCATCTCTTGCGTCATAATCATTTGTAATAATCTGACTTTGAAGATGAGCTCTAAGGACAAAAAGTGGAACCTTTTGAATAAATCTAGAAAAACTTTTGGCCCGATTTGAAGCGAAGAAAAATATATGAGGAGAAGCTTTAGACATTGCCACAAACACTGTTTGCAAGCAAAGTAAGATTTGAAGGTTTACAAGATTTACTGTTAAGTTTGATTGTGTCTGGTGAAATGTGCTAATGAATGCACGCATCATCCTGCCAGCGAGAGGGACAAGTGGAGGCCGGGGTCATAACAACGAAAACACACAAAGAAGGCGAGAAGGAGAACAAGACGAGCAGAAATGAAGTGAGTGACTCCATCATTCTCCGTGCAGCTCACCGTTCTCATCTTTCCTCTTTTCCCAAGTGGCCCATTCCCTGTCCTATTCCCGCTTGAAATTCTTCAAACAGGGACATTTGTCTGACAGTCAAACCAAACAACAGTTTCTTTCATGATTGTAAAAGAAACATAAATATTTAACTGCATCTTACACTAAGGCGCTTACACATTCTGGAAGAGTTTGGAATTAGATCAGAGCAGGCATATGTCTAGATAAGTACTGAAAAATAAACAAAAATGTTGATAATTGTTTGTATTTTCCAGATTTTATTCCCCATTGTGTTGTTTATATGTCACATCCATGAATTCTTCCATTTATCCATTTGTTCATCTGTCTTTCCACACGCTCATCCAAGCATCCATCTTACCGTTTGACTGCCGTCCATCCCTTTCTGACCACCCTAAATATATGCCATAAATTTATGCTGAGCTGTTGTACTCGTACTTAAAAAAAATCAGCCTAAATAGTACCAAGCATGAAGGAAATTTGAATCAGGGTAGTTTTGAATGTGCACGAATACAAATATTCAGCTTTTAAGAAAATCAGAACATTACATCAATCCATTACCAATCAATCCCCTGAATTGTTGTCACTGAAGTTTGAGGTTTCTTTATGCTTCACATCTTTCTAATTGTATTTGGAGCAGCTGGATTTAATCACTTGTTTGACCTCATGGCAAAAGCAGACCACACTGAAGCATGTCTTCACTTGCCTCTTATTTTGTTTTCTTCCTATTACATCACCGTGCAGGACTCGTGTCACTTTGATGTTTACTTTGATTTGTTGTTGGGAAAACATCTGTTTTAAATTCACCACTTGACATTCACAAGGGCTGGTTAGTTTCAGGATGACGCAAAACGGAAGAGATTTTACGCTTCGGTTGCATTTTGTTGCTAAATATTACGCTGCTTTTCCTGTACGCACTTTTCTTCAACACAAAATCTCTACTGTGCCGTTTCAGGAACATGGAGACGACACGCTGTCGAAGGATGAGGCACCTGAGAAGAACATGCAGGTTTCCAGAATCCCAAAAGGTGTGCTAGATTTCAGCAGTGGGAGCGAAACTGATGAAGAGTTGCAAGGGCCAAAGCCAAAGACTTCAAATTCGAGTGCAGGCCACGGCAACAGGAGTGGCAAAGCTGCTGGTGGACCTGTTCACATGAGTCTTCTCCAACATGGCTTCTCCAGACTCCTTGAAACCATCAAGGATAGACAGCAGCTGAGGGAAGGAGACTGTAGCTCCTCTGCTGAAGGTAGTCCGTTTGAGGAGGAGGCAGGAGATCAAAAGATAGACGATACCTGCACAGGCATCCGCACAACGTCCTGTGAAGGAAATTGTGTTGCCTGCCTCCCAGAATCTGAAACAAAACCCCAGAACAAATCCATCGGCTCAGACAGAAAAGACAGAGATGATGGAAACAACATTTTATTGTTAAAAGAGGGGGATTATGCTGAAAGACAGAGATGGGGCCTAAAAAGACAGCTAGATAAACAAATTGCAGTGGATGAGGAGAGTGATGGAAATTCCTCACCAGAAAACAACAAGGCTAGTAGGCTTAAAAGCACAGTTACAAAAGTGCATCAGTTTGAAGGATGCTCAGATGAATCTGAGGATTTTGACCTAGAGGCACAAATATGTTCCAAAAGGGGTGCTTCAAATTTGCACAACAAAGAAGATGATGGAGGCAGGAGGAATCCGGGCCGCAGCAGAAGAAGGCAAAGTGCCGGAGCAAGGGACAAGGCAAGATCCAAGTTTACAGAAGCGATAGAAGCTTTTACGTCTTCAGAAGATGAACGTTCAGCTCCTGGGAGACGAGCGGGAAGGTCAGAAGTTGCTTCGTTTACAAGTCCGAGAGGTTCAACAACTCCAGCATCTGAGGAAAAGGAGCAAACCATCGACAACGTGCTGGGTTAGCGTGATGGTTCTTTCATTTTAAGTAATTATCATAACTCTAATATTAACCATTGTCCATTACTTGTGTAAAGGACGTGTGCAGGAGGTGGCTTATATGCACTCTAACCAGCGGGTGGTGGGTGGCAGCAGAGCAGAGGAGCTGATCAGCAGAGCGGCTGTGCGGGACGTGTTTGAACGCAAAATGTACTCACAGCTTCCGGCCAACAACCTGCTGGGAACCCAGGAGGTGTGTAGCAACAAACACCAAGCCCAGTGGCTGTTTAAATACAGAGTTAGGAATAACATTGCATGAGCCCGAATTTTTTCACGTCATACAACTCTATGACAATGAAAAAAAATGTAAAAATATTTGCTACATTGATGCAAGTAGATCTTCCTGTACTGAAAGCTTTAAAATGATTGTAAGACTAGGTTTTCCCCTCACCATTCTAAGCTGTTTTGGTCTTTAAAAATTTTATTATTGCAATTTGAACTTCTGTCCCAGAGCCTCCCAGCGAGTTTACCAGACAGCCAGCCTAAGTCCAGTGCCATCCATCTGCAGAGGCCCAAAGTGGATCATCCGGTGATCTTCTCCGACAAGAAGATCCAACACACTGGATGCACTACAGTCATTATTGGAGATACTCCCAAAGCAGTCTGCAGGTATTTAAAAGTAGTTATACTGACGAATTGAAGGCAAGCAAGAAGAGCGTAAGGAATAAACAGATTTATAAAAAGAAATATAAGCTAGCAAGGATGGCTTTGACGTATTTTATTTGTTAGGGGCTATGCACACTAACATTTTTCTAAATGCGCCAGAATTAGCTAAAATGCGATTTTTCACCTGTTTTTCCTGGACAATGAGATTTTTTTATCTTGGTGAAAAACAAACTAAGGTCATACAAACGAGGTTAAAATGACTGAACTACACCAATTCTATCAATAGAATCGATACAAACACTAAATACAAAACAAGGAAACTGCAACACAAAAAGTATAGCAAATAATTAAAATTAAAGTTGTCACACGGGTGCCAAAGAACATAATTTTAAAGTAAGAATGAGAACCAAAATTTAGGAAGAAGTAGAATAATGGGAAAGAAATAAAAGAGGAGAGGGATTCCTGGCAGTGTCGGGCAAAAGGCCAAAAACCCACCAGAGAAACAGTGTTGAGAAGCCCCCACCTGGACTTTAATAACTGCTCATGTGTGTATGCAGAAAAAGACCACCTCTGAGGTTTCCCCTCTACCTATTTCCCAGCATCATGCCAAAGATTACCCAGCTATGATCAGGCACAACACTGAAGGAGTTTCCCCCTTTGCAACCGCAGTCCTCCTGAGACTGACCAAAAAAATGATCGCCTTAGGTCTTCCAAACCCGCACATTCTAGCAAGCATTTATGTACACACACCCACACATGCGGTGTTCTCACACACACGCACACACACACAGACAGACATAACCCCATTCTGCTTCATCACCTCCCCTCAGTCGCCCATGTATACGGACACACAGACACCTTTATGGCTCCAGCCTCACTCCCAGCGGGGGAAGGCTACATCTCTGCCCAGAGGTTCACCAGTGAGTGAAATTACACACTGGGTGATATTGATATCGTGTCAGTTTGTTTAATGATTTGAATCCATATGCGCGATAGGTTTTTACTATCTTTTACTTTTTGTGTTTTCAATGAAACGCCACAAATGGTTAAAATAAAATAAAAAAAAAAACAAGTCACTTTAACGTGTTGGTGTCACTGAGTCTGGTTAGATTAGCATTTTTAAACGGCTCCATGAAAGCAACTCTAGTCCAACCACATTGTTTTCTGGATATAACCCCTGATCTTTGCAGTCCTCCTCATCTTAGGTTAGACCTTACAGACCTGCAGAATAGGTCAGTGATAGTCTGGGAAGAATTACTCCGAAAATGTTAAAGATGTGGGATGTGGTATGCATAATCATAATCTCATTGTAAGAAAATGAGCCAAATTATCATTAAGGTCATCCCTGAAAATATTAAAATGGGTAAAATTGTCAATTTTAAGGAAAAATAAAACAATCACATTTTGCAACCTACTGTTAAAAATGTATTTGAAACTACTACTACTACTAATTTATGATACAGAAAATAACCTACCATTCCACAATTTTTTTTAAAATTTTTTTTTAATGAAGTATCCAGATTTATTTTTTGTATGTTTGTTTGGACAGGTATTGTCTGTTCTGGTTGCCTTTAAGCACCGACAAACATTTCTCATAATAAAGTTAAGTTAAATCTTGCTCTACATACTTTAACTTTAAAAATGTCACTTATTTTTGTCTCTGTCATTTTTTACATAGGCAACAGCTGGAGGAAATGGCCCAACATTTCAAATTTGTTTCAGTCCATCAGTTTGCCACTGAGATTCTGAAAGGAAGTTCATCTCATAGACTCGACTGGCTGTGTCGGTACTACGCTTCGCTGAACCACTCTGATGTGGCCGAAGCTGTCAGAGAAAACTTCCCTGACACGACAGCGCAGCCTTCCTCTCCTACAACTGCTGCCTTCTCATCGTCTACTAAAATGTCAGACAAAACCCAACAAATTAAATCTTCTAGAGTCCGAAAAATAAGGAAATGCAGTCAGACCAGAAGAACTAACCCCACATCTCCACAAAGCAATGTTTCTTCACCACAGAGTGAATCTGGCGTCCTAAAAAATAATGGTCTTGAACCACCAAAAAAGGCACGGATATCTGAGAAGAATCTTCCAGATCCTCTACAGGACGTTCAGAGGTTTGTGTCAGAGGAGCAGGAAGAGATGGTCTCTGGTGCCAGCAGACATTCAAGGACACAGAAGAGCAGTGTTTCTACTGCTGGAGCCTGCCGAGCTGGTAGTGGTCTTGCCGTAGATCGGGCCAGAGGCCTTGGTCAGGGATCCAGGGAGTCTGCTGTTGCTGCTTTCCCGAACCACACAGACAGAGACTGCCCTTCTTCGTCTGACCTCAGGCGTTGCAGCTCCGCCACGTTATCCAAACCCACAGCTCAAGACGGGGAGCAAGGAATCCAGGAATCCTCACGGAGGACGGGTGAAACATCGCGAGAAGGTTCTGAGCCTCCTTCTGCCTTGTGCAGTAGCACCCACCTCAAAGATCTTATAGGAGATACGTCCATTCTTGATGATTTGCTGAAACCTAAAGGCAAGAATGTGCAACAGAAAAGCGCCCCAAAAACACCTCCTGTATCTTCTTTGCTGCCAAACCCAACGCCCGACACATCTTCTTCACCTAAACTAACTTTAGGTACTGATTCAAGCTCAGGAACACAAAACACCGCGCTGGTGCAGACGTCAAGAAGCGCTTGCAAAGACATCTGGGACATCCTCAGCGAGGGCAATGAAGAGAGAATCAACAAGCTGACAGACCCAGAGGTGGTGCAGAAAGTTTGCATTAACACCACCTTTGCAGCTCGAGGTTTTTCTGGACAAAAGGAAAGCAAAAATCTCTGGAAAACAAATGACAAGTTTCTATGGAGGAAATGACACAATAAAGCCTTTTAGAATATTATTTTATTTTAGAAGTGTCAACCGGCAATGTTGCCCAAATACTCAGCTTGGTTAAACTCTGAAATTCAGATTGTACATATTTTAAAGTTTGTTTTTGTATCCATGATTGTGCATAAAAGGCACAATCATGGTGTGAATGATTGTGCCTTTTATGCATCAACTTAGTGAGGTGCAAAATAACCTTGTATTCACTAACTTAGGACTGTTTTGCTGTTGCAAAGCTGAAGTTGAAGACAGTGGCTCTTGGGGATTGATTTTTTTTTTTTAACATCACTGTTAAAATATTGTGTGCTGTAAATGGTCAGATTCTCCTGCAGTTTTTTACTCTGTTATCCGAGTTGTCAGTTGTGCCACAAAGGTCCCCAAAAAGTGACACCTTCTGAGCGAAAATAACAAGCAGTTAATGATCTTGGGAAGGTTTGAATGGATTGTCCTTACGTTCCTCCGTTTGAAACTCTATTTACTTTTTTTTTTGGCTCTTTCCTTTTGTTTATTTTGTTTGTATTTCCTTGTAATTCCTGCAAAGCACTTTGTATTGCCTTGTTGCTGAAAATGTGCTATATAAATAACATTACAATACATTACATTTTATTTTTACACGTCATATTCAAACTCTTGCATCTCCTGCTTGCATCATTCCCGTAACACAAAAGCGAAGTCAGGCGGCTCATTTGTGCGTTAATTATTTCACGAGCATGTCGTGACACACAGCTGTGTTTGACCCCTTTCAGCTATTGTGCTGAGGTAAACTGACACCCCAAAAGAAAATCTGCGCTCCGTGCTGTGTTTAGCAGAAATGGGAAAGTTCAGATAGCCATCAGTAAACAAGAGACAGGAACGGATGTCTCAAAAGACTGCACAAGATGTTAAAAAGCTTGTGTTCGTACTACTGGGTGGCAGATAGCTTCATGCACATGTATGCTGCGGCCACACCCGTGTTAAGTCGTACACAGGAAGAAATAAAACACCTTTTATTCCCCAGAACCCTAAACCACTTCCTTGTTACTTCTTTTTCTTTCATCTGCAGATTTGCAGATTCCAGTTTTTTTGTTTATTGTTTTTGTCATCAAAGGAAAAAAAAATTTTCTAACACCCGATTGCTGGGAACGGTTTATGTCCAAACAAACAATGCCCTAATTGTATCTTATATTTAAAGCCATCTGTATAAGTTTGCCAATGATGGAAAGCCAAGTAACGGTTACCCTGTAGATATCAGGCTGTGGCACCTAATTTGGTTTTACAAGACTGTTTATGGGACTTTGACATCCTTTTTGAGCTAGATTGCCACTCATCTTTGCTTCCAATCCAAACTTTTTGAACTCTGGTTAAAAACTTTGTCCACAGATGGAAAACAGTTGATTTTAGTCACTTGTTAATACATGCAAACTTGTAGTTTTCTTCAGCCTGAATGAAAATACTGATTTTTATTGGAGCTTTTATGTATTCTACTGTTGATTTGCAAAAAGCAATAACGGATTCAAATGTAAGCACCAAAGTTTTGTTTGTAAAATTCCTTAAATCTATCTATTATTATAGGTCCTCACAAAGTGATGGTCGATCATGCGCATAAAGCCTTTAGAGAATCACTGTATTCATTAGGGAACATGCTGATTTTGTTTGAGTCATTAAACATATAACGTATGTGGGAAGAAATATTACCCAACATTTTAGCGCAAGATTTCTTAACAGAAACTTTGGGGCATCTCATCAAGCTAACAGCTGCAGTGGAGGGGTGCAGAGCTCTCCTGTTCTTACCGTAACAGGCAGAGGAGGTCTCTACATTAGAAAAACACCTATCTCCCTTCATTAGGAAATTACACACAATTTGCCCCTCATTCCTATCCAGTTAACCAGGAAACTGTTAGCTGTAATTTGGGTTAATACACTGGCTCCTGGGTCCTTCCGCTCCCCATTGTGCCCCATCATAAAAGAGATATAATGCAGAGGCATAAAAACGTCTGCCAACCGAGTGTCTAATACACTGACTCACACAGTAAGGGAGGCTAATCCCTCGTTTTGTTTGCTCACATAGATCATCACTGGAAATCAAAAATGTTAATGAATTGCACTGGAAAGATTTCACAATATTTGTATGGAGCTCTTGCTATTAAAATTTGAAAAGACTTTTAGGATAGGATAAAAAGAAAAAAATCTACTCAAAAAGAGCAGGGTAGCAAGAAGTAGAGGGAGGTCTGCTCTTTTGCTTCTTACAGGCAAAAGGAATGGAAAACTGTGTGTTTTACCATGGGGTAAATATTGAGAGAGTAGAGATATAAACGAAGTGAAGAACTGCCTGCGTCTCTGTTGCTCTGCCAAAAGCATGTGCGTCACTTGATCCATTGTTTAGTGCGGAGAGGTCTCTGCAAGCAGGCGGCTGCCTCCCCGCTCCAGCTGCGGCCGCTCCACTGTTTATGTTTGCAGGGCCCTTCGCCTTGAAGTGAGGCTATGCAAGCAAAGCCCAGCCATATGCGAGTGTTTGGCCAGCAGGAGAAAAAAAAATAAAAATCACCAATCCTCTCTTTTTTTAATCCACACTTCTACTGTTTCTCACCCTCAAGTTCATTTTTATTTATGTCTTTTTTAGCTCTTATTTTATTTACTTCCCACCAGACATTAGCCACCAAGCTAATGTTTGGTGGGCTGCTCATTTGGGGAAGTGCAAAGGTTGTAGTAATTGTCTTCTATAAAAATGTTGGTCTTGGATGGGGGTGGAGGGGGGAGGGGGGCACAATGTTTAAAACTTTTGGAGCTCAGTGTCAGATGATTTCACCTAATGTAAGGGTGAAAAGCACATTGGCAAGATAGTTCATCAGAAAGTGGTTTGCAAAGTTTGTAAAAAATTTAACCTTTTCACCTTTTGTAATGTAAAACCACATGCTTTATTGTTTTCTATTATGATTTTATGTAACAAACCAGCATAGAGTCAAGCATGTTTCTGAAGTGTAAGGAATATGGCTTTCAGAAAGCATTGTCAGTCCTGTTTATTTTGATATCCTTAATTAAAAGTCATGGAAACCAACCACAATACTGGCTTGAAAGGTCTAGAATAAAGTTGTAGAGAAGTTTATAGCAGGATTATAAAACATAAATCCAATCTGCGTACTCCTGTAAACCTAACCAAGAAAAGGACGACCAACAAAACTGACAAGCCAGGTGAAAAGCTACGATAACCCTGGAGGAGCTACATAAGTACACAGCTCAGTTGGTAGAGTGCTGACAGGACAATTATTATTTACACACTTTCCAGGCCTGGTCTTCATAAAAGAGTGACAAGAAAAAAGCCATAAGAAGTCTTGTTTTCCACAAAGTAAGAAAAACTCAATGTAAACATGTGGAAGAAGGTGCTTGGGTCAGACATTTTTGACTTGCATGCAAAGTGCTTAGTGTGACAGAAAACTAACACACCATGCATAGAGTGATACATGGTTAGGATCATTCTGACTAGATGCATTTCTTCAGCAAGAACAGGAAACAGGTCAGAGTTGATTTGAACATGGACGGCGCTAGATACAGAGCGATCATGGAACAAAACATGTTAGTGGCTACAAAATAGTTGAAATTTTGATAGACGATCGTCTTCCACATGTAACCAGAACCGAATTGAAATGGTTTTGGTTGAAGCAAATTAATATGTTTGAACAGCCCAGTCATAGTCTCAATCTAAATGCAATAAAAAATTGTAGCAAGCATGTTGAAAAAGTTATTTTAATGCAATTTGACTGCGCTAGAAGTATTTTGGCAGTGAATGAGCCATGAGAATGACTTCTCCCCTTACTCTTTAGATTTAGTATTTGAATATTGTTCTCCATGTGTTTTACAATGATTCAGTGTTTGGTTCTGATTTATCTCCAAAGACCCCCGTTAAATACATTGAACTTTTGATTTGGCAAAAGATGGAAAAAGTTCAGAAGAGATGAAGACTTTTGCAAGCATCCAAACATGCATCAAAGTTTTCCAGTTTTTGTTGTTCCAACCGTCAGTAATCTAATAATTGCAACACCAATATTTTTGTGCAAAATCAGTAGTTTCCATTATTGGCAGATACAAAGATACCACTGTTGGACTGAATCAAGGATAAAAGGGTGAAAGGATTCCAATCTCCATCTTAAATTCCTCAGTCAACCTGGATAATTTCTTGTGTGGCAAGCTTCCCTGCGTCAAAGCAAGTCTGTGTGTTTCCGAGGGTTAGCTGTCCTGACCTTGACTTCTGGGTGGGCTGCGTAGGCCATGTGCTTGCCTTGGAACATTGCTTCTGTTTGCTGAAACAACATGCAAGCGGTGTCAACGCAGGAGAATGGAGTGCCACAGAGAGCATTATCACAAGCAGTACTTCACTCCCTTTTTTAGACGCAGTCACAGACTCACATATAAAAAAATTAAGCACAGTAAAAAAAAACAACAAAAAAACGTCTTCCGAGACTTTCTTTTTTCTTTTTTCTTTTAGTAAAGTAAAAAAATTTTATCTGCCACAGGACGTGCTCTCATCTTTTTTGTCCTTAAATTTAATCCCACTGATAGAAAAACGATGAAAAAGGGTACCTTGATTGAATTTGACCTTTTTTATGGACAGTAATAATAACAGTAATTAACCCTGTTTGATATTTGTAATGCTTTGATATAAGACATCAAAGAGTTGCCATAGTTGCATTGGCACCAGGCGAGCCAAGACCACCTAAGATGCAGAAACCCCCTGTTCTTGAGAAAGCAGGGTAAACAACTTTTGATTTCAAGCAGCAGTTGACACAGACATGCAGCTTCAGCAGGTTTTTCAATCTTAGATCAAAGATAAAAGTCCTCCAAGAAATTTCTAAATTAGATATGGCTTAATATTAGCTGCCATCTTGTTACTTATTTATTCCAAAGCACTCATGTTGTATACTCTTATGCATGTTTATCTTTGCAATAGATGCATTGAAACTCCCATTAGAGAAAGTTCAGAGTAACAACCCCGCTTTTATTTCATAGTCTTTGCCTGTTCTGCCATCTGGTGGCGATTTTCAGCATTGCAAGGTTCATATTTTAAAGTTGTTAAAGAAAACCTTAAAGAATCTTCTATAGGCTTCTAGATTTTAAATTAGAGTGCATAATCCTAATTTATAAAAATTACATATTTGTAAATAATAATAATAATAATAATAATAATAATAATAATAATAATAATAATAATGTATCTAAATTTTATAAATACAAATTCTTGCTTATATAGAATAATGGGAATGAATGACAGAATTAATAAGCAAATAAATAAAATACCTAAAACGGTTAGCATTTGCTTTAGGCAGTGGATTGAAATTATGAGTGACACGATTGAAAGTGAACAAAACACAGAAAGCCGTCTGACACTGTTAGAAAGCAATCTAACCTCAATTAGACCATTGATTCTGCAAAGCAGGAAATCCATCAAACAAACAGAAATCAACAAATAAGAGATGGATGTGGAGAATGGAGTGAGAATAACACGAAACACAACAAAACATGGTCGAAACAAGATGAAAAATCCAAAAGTAAGAACTGTAAATGGTAAAAAGTGACATAATCTAGCACACAGACAATCAAAAATCACTGGAAAATACAGAGTACAATAAGGGCATTAATAGTAGTGAAATCTATGTAATGACAATGAAAATTAAATGATAAAATCAGAACATGAATACAAAGCAAACAGGCCAGGATGAAGACATATATAAATGTCAGTTCCACCCTCGGAAAATATTGATCAAATAAAGTGACCTGTAGGGGTTCATGCAGAATGGAAATGTCAGATTTAGCATTTTCTTGATAAACCGATGTTAAAGGTGTGAGGTCATGTTAAAATGTGAAACTTTCAATAAATTTACATACAATGAGTCTTCTGATTAGCTACTCTTTTTTAAATTAGTTTTTGAAAAACATGGGAGGACATTTTTCAATAAAATTACTTGATCTTTCACATTTTTTAATATACCTGGTTATGCTTGAGGTTTTAGAGAACTTGATGTGTTGGGGGTCTGTAGGTTTCTAACTAACTGAACTACAACAATAATTTCTAGCTATATTTCAAAAACAATAGTTATGTTTATCAGCTTACCTTTGCAAAATTATAACTGCAAATGTTATAACAGAACATTTCACGGTCTTTGTTAGAAATTTTATGTAACAGACACAAAGCCTCCACCAGCTTTGCACTAAGATCCTTGTGCAAATTTGAACTTGGAAGAACTGTTGAATCCTTGTTCTATTCTCATCTAAATCTTCTTGCTTCTTGTTTCAGCGACTAAAAAACACACAATTTTGACGGATGCACTCATCAGAATTCTTTAATATATTTAGCTTTATCAACAGCGTAAATTGTTTCCTTTTTTCAACAAGAAATCTATGCTGAAGACAAGAAGCCCAATGCTTATACATATTGGATCATTCGGAACAATTGTTTAGTTTCAGTCAGATTGGATGGAGAGCATAAATTTTCAAATCTTTGTAAATATTCATCAGTGGATTTAGATCTGGAGTTTAACTGGGCCATTCTAACACAGTGAAATGCTTTGATCTAAACCACTGCACAGTAGCTTTTGTTGTGTGCGCTCAGTGTTACTGCCGTTCTGTCCTCTTGCACACCCTGATGGTGCTTTCAGGGCGATGTGCAACGTTATTTTCTCACAATATAGCACTTTGCCCGTGAGAGTTTCCTGTATGTTACCATTCACGGCCTCTGCCTCTTCTTCACTCCCATCATCATCCTCATTTAACTGTTGTATGTATGTATTTCCTGAATTTTAGACAGGGATGTCCGACAAGTCCAATAAGTTCACAAGTGTGGACTTGTTTAGTTTGTAGAGCTCCCCCTTCTGGCTGAACTGTGTAGGACAGTTTATTAATGCCCTGGCTCTCCAGAGGAAAGGTGTTCAGGTTGTTCCTCTGGAACTGGTTGCTAAACATCATGTAGCCATATCTCTGATGGATGGAGAAAGTTTGGAGGTCAGACTTTCATACGTTTGCGCTTTGATTTAATGCATCTGCGGCAGAGGAAGGTCACTGGCCTGCAGTGGTTTGCCATGATATAAACTTTATGAAAACTTTTCAGTAGTGTGAGCGTGGATTTTAAATGTGCTGCAGTGTGTTTTAATCCTTCCCTCAGAACTAGCTTTGCCTTCTCACTACTTGCATCTTCCGATGTACTGCTGTACACCTTCCCTGTCTCTCTTGAAGTATTTCCACATCAAGATGGGTTCAGGCTTTTTTGCAGTGTCAAGTTTCCACCAAACATAGCTAAGCTAGTTTTTCATCTGACCAGAGCACCATCTTCTCCACTGTGACCCTCAAACCCGAGGTGCTCTGTTAAATGGTTTTTTTATAAGCTTAGTCACATAAAAGTCAGCTTTGAAAATTTTTGAATCACAAAAATATTTCCCAGAGCCACAACATGCCACAACACCTTAAGCATGTTTTATTAAAGAATGGTGCATTTATAACTTTTATCTATACCAACCTTTCACCTCATTGATGCTTCTTCCTCTGTCTTACTGATTGCCACACCTTAAAATCATCTCATTAATTGTCATGTAGGACAAATCAAGACTGTCCTTCTTTGAGTAGCTGCCATTTAGTTTTAGTTTGAAAAAGTCAAAGCAAGTATGGAGGATCTAAGCTCAGGGTCACTCTGACCATCTCCATCTCCTTCTCCCATCCCCTCCACTATCTTTGATGGGGGAGGATTGTACATCATGGCTGTCTAAACATGCTGCCTGCCTATGATTTTGGCTTTTCTCACAGCACAAAAGGCCATGTGAACCTGACCGTGCAGACAAATAACCGGACGTCTATGTGGTTTTATCATTGTACGTCATTTGCAGCATGTCATCTTGGCGTCTGTTTCCATTCTGAACCAAACTCCAGCTTGATATGACGTTCACTTTCCTTCACTATGCGGTTTGTGCAAGGTGAGTATGTTTAGGACACCAGTAAGATACCAGACTCAGAAACTAAAAGAAAATGCATTTTTTTTTTTTCATGATTTATAACAGGATGTGAAATCATGTTAAAGTATTTAGGACACACAGTGAAAGAATTTATATTTTTCAACACATTTGGACATATAGATTTGTCAGAGATTCTATAAAAATGGAAAACTGAAAGAAAAGACTTCTTTTTTTTCTGTAAAATGCAAAACGACAAATACAGTTTCTGGCTGAGAAGAAATTAGGACACCCACACATTTATTCCTACTTGTGATGGCTAAAATTACGCCCACATACATCACGTCATTGCACATGATTAGAACGTTGTTGCTTTGCACTGCAGACATTTAGGTGAGAGCCAAACGGCTGTCTGAGGTCCTGAGAGAGAACAACAATGGCAGCTTCTGAGTCTTGTTCGGTATTTAAAGATGTCTCACAAGAACTAAAATGAGTGCGTTCCACTGTACAGAAAACAGTGTATTAGTGAGACATTCAGAACAACTGCGTACATTCTCAGGTCAAGAAAATACACCCTAAAATCAAACCAGACGCTTAAAGAAGTCCATCTCATGAAAACGCTCACTTCACAGGACATACAGTAATACAGTAGGCTCTTATTTATAAGACCGGGCCCCTTAACTGCCACCCTCAAAAAGCTTACAGCGACCTCATAGGTACTTGAGGTCACCTGTGTCCTCATGACACTTAAGGTGTTTAAGCAAATTAAGTAAATCCGTCAAGGGGCTCGCTGAGTGTTAAGACACTGGACCGAGTTAGAGCTTAACCGTAATCTGATTGAGATGCTGCAGGTTGACTTGAAAGAAATATTGTCGATAGGCTACTGTCACAAATATATCCGTTTCCCTCAAAATGAACCAGCGGAGAGCAATGACGAGTTATACAGAGCTGCATTTTATTTTTAATCGCTTGTGATACATTTACCTGACATCTATTTGAACAACACTTTAGCAGATACAACATAGTTTGATAAATCAGGACATAAAACACAAAGAAACAGGAATTATGACAAAACCTATATTTAAACAGTTGTTTATTGTACAAGCAGTTTGTACAATAAAGCTATGTAGCTGCGCGTTAGTGAGTTATGCTTCATTTATTGAGGGTTTGTTTTTACACATTTGGAAATAACAATAAATCGTAGGTCTTTATAATTTTAGCCATAAATATGTATATACAAAAACACACACACACAAAAAAATCATAATAATCAACTCCTTCTGTTGTTCACAGCATCCATCAGTTCTATAATTAAAAGTGGATTCAACAATTTCATGTGTTCCTATTTTTTCATACCGTTCTTAGATTCCATTTTTGACTCAGAAAGTGACTCCCTCTGACCTGTTTTCTTTTTAACGTAGTCCTGTAAGCCTTGCAGCACAATCTCAGCATAGACAAGCTTAAGAGGAATAGACTGCAGCAACCAGGCCTAAATGAACAACACAAAGACAACCATGAGGATAACTCAGTCTGCCAGCACACAGTGCCTTGTCCAAACTCTTCCAACTTTCTCAGCAATTTCTCATGTTTCAGCCACAAAATTCAGTGCATTTTCTTGTCTGAAAGAAATATGCAAATTAATATGTAGCAGTGAAAAGGACATGCGAGCTTTGCGCATAAATAGACTGAAATTTTAGTCCATTCTTCTTGCAAAAATATCAACAGCCTAGCTGAGCCGATTTGGTGCAAGTAGTTGCACCAAATCTGTTTTTGGAAGTGTCAATGTGAAGGGGGTTGATAATAATTTCATGACACTTTAAAACATTTTTACACGAAAACAATTTTAAAAAACAAATAGCATTATTTTTCCACTTTGCAAATATATATATTTTTTTGCCTAATAAATAAACATGAGAAAATGTGGAAAGTTCAAGATGTTTGAATACTTCTGCAAGGCACTGTTCTGTTACTTGGCATCATGAGATACTTTTGTAAATTGTTTTACCAGGAGTGTGTGGCAGACAGTGCCGTTGATTTTGTCTCCAGCTCTGACGTACTGCAGGGATTTTTGTACAAAGTATTCTGGCAGCAGAGTCACCATGTTCGTCTTTTGGAAACCCGCCATCCGAGTGGAGACCCCGAAAGGAGCCACTGCCTGAGAAAACATTCAGAATGTGCTTCAGGTTCGCAGCAAACAGTTTCAGCCTATTTGTGGTCCAGAGTTTTTCAGAGAAGGTCTGAAAGAATGTTGTGGTACCTGTATGATGATCCCGCTATCTCTGTACTCTGCTTGGAGACCTTGAGAAAATCTTTCCACAAAGACCTGCACAACCCGACATTCATGCAAAGGTTATAAATGATCCAATCAGATGACCTGCAAAATATCTTAGATGGATCATTTTACCTTTGATGCAGCATAAAGGGTATAGAGTGGAAAGGGAAAAGAGGCAATTCCTGAAGCAACATTGATGATCACCCCTTTATTCCTGCAGAGCCAAAGAAAAATTCAAAATTCAACAGCTGCAAACATATTTGTTGAAAACTGAACTGCGTTGAACAGCATATTATAATATAACTCTGTTAAACATTACATCTAATGAAGAAAACATGGGTAGGAGACCTGTTCTCCATGCCTGGGAGGATTATTTTGCACATCTGAAGACAAATGAAAACAAGGTCAGATTCGAGAGAAATGAGAGTATACAGCAAGTGTCTCAAGACTGAGGAAACTGTCAGTCAAATAAAAGTTAAATATATTTCTCTTTTGTATTTTACAGAACTGATGTAACAGAAACTCTCTTACCTTGCACAACGTTTTCACATTGCAGTTTATCACCTTCGTTATTGTCTGAAAATACACATTAACACCTGTCTCAGTAAAAGGTTCAGGACATTAAACTCAACTTCAGAACATTTAATATTGAAACAAATTGTTTTACATTTTATTTTAAAGGAAATGTAAAAGTTTGTTTACTATTAGAAAGAACCCTGAGATGAAACCACTCAGAAAGTGCTGAATCAATCACCATTTTGTTTGTCTTGTGTATAAAACTAGAGGATTAGTCATTTAAATTATTGAGAGTTTCACTTTTTGAATTAAATTAGTGGGGGGGGGGATCTTTTACATTATATTCTGATTTCCTGAGATGAACCTGTTATGCATTTAAATAGAAATATTCATTTTCTCTTGGGACAAGCGGATTTATTCAAAACAAACATCTTTCAAAATGATGTGTTTATATCTGTACGTGTGCATGTTAATGTCAGGTGGATATCAAGTTAGTTCCTAAAAATTCACATGGGCTCTCATGTGCAATCTTGTGAAATATCACTGACCTTGTCCAGCTCCTCAGAATCGAGAAACTTACAGGGGACGAAGGTGGGGAGCACCCCAACGTTGTTAACTGTGTACGAGGAGACAAAAGATGTTGTTTCGGAGAAAGAATATTCCTTCATAATTATGCTTTGAATATTAAATAGAGGAAAAAATATGAAGGCCTGACCTAAAACGCCAATGTTAAGGTCTTTTAACTCTTCCTCTATTTCCCTGAAGATATTCTCCTCACTGAAGTCTGCCACAATCACCTTCACCCTCCGTCCTGTGGTTTCACCTGAGACAATATCAAACACTGACATTACTCCGAACAACAGCCATCTATAAAAAAAAATGATTATTCATACATTTGTAGGTGTTTTTGCAACTACAAACAAGCAAGTGTTATACCTATTTCCTCTGCCACCTTTTCCAGCGTTGCTTTAGTTCGACTCATGATGACAACATTCATTCCTCGGTCAGCAAGCTGAGAAGCGGTGTGTGACGGTTAAAATCAGGAACAAAAATGTCCACATGCAAATATTAGTGAACAGAGTTCAAATAAAAGGTAAGTATATTTAGGTTGCAAATTTAAATGCAAAAAAATAAATAAAAAAAAGTTTATCACATTGTTTAAACAGTTACTTACTGCAAATGCATAAGCTCTTCCTATGCCTTCTGACGCACCAGTCACCACTAAAAGAGAGGAGGCAAAGAGTAAGATATTCAAATCAACTGTTTCTGTTTGCAGCTGTTTACAACTCAACACTAGGGGCGCTGTCACTCTCCAGCTCCTTCTGAAGGTCCTTCCAGCGCTGTCAGAAGGACTTTAGGGCCCCGTTTCAGAAAGCAGGATGAGTGAAAATCCTGAGTAAGTTCAAGTTGACTATGGGTTTTCGGTTTCTGAAAGCCAGACAGCTGTTATCCTGAGTCAGCTTTTTACCGCAACTTACTTCGCGAACCATCTCTGCTCGGCATCATGATTGTTTGAGGAAATCCTGAGTTTGTCCTATCATTTTGCTGGCTGGCACAAGGAAAGTTTCAGAAACGGTGCTTCCTTTCCTGTGGGAGCCTGTAAAAGTTGGACAGGATATATTCTCTATCGGAAGAGGGCGATCACACCTCGAGTGGATGTTTTTCGTTTCCGGGTTATTTAAAGCGTTACCGTTTTCAATTTATCTCAAGGAAGTCCCCCCATTTTTGATGAGGTACCCATGAGGGCAGAACTTCGACTCGGCAGGAAATTTAATGTTTTTGATTGTTGATTCAATGTTGCATAACTCTGTGCTTTTGTGTTTAATGATGTAAAGCACTTTGAAATGCCTTGCTGCTGAAATGTGCTATACAAATAAAATGTGATTGATTGATTGATTGATTGATTGAATTAAATTTCCGCCTGTAGTCACATTGAAACAAAGAGGTTATCTTTGTGCTGCTTCGTTTTTATACCAACTGGATGCTGTCGGGAAAGTTACTGTACCACCTAAGCTGATCAACAGCAGAGGTGGATGTGGATCAATTAGGCTACTCATGTCTATAAAGTTCTCCTTAGCAGAATAGTGTGTGTCTCTACCTGTCATGGACGCATGGTGTTCTATCTCGGACATGTGCTCTCCATTAAATATCTTTTTTTTTCCTGTTTTATGTTGTTGGTATCAAGCACAAATTGTTCAGTTTTAAGTGAATTATATTGAGTAATGTAGCATTTTAAACAAGAGCCCCCCCCCACCCCCACCATCAGACTATAGATAATTGTGAATTGAAACTACAAACATTGTTGGTATTGCAGCATCAACAGTATTGCCTTTGTTTTTTAATATATTATCCTTTTGGCATCATTGAAATGTATAATTCCAGTGGTAAGCAACAATGGTCATTTTAAGGTTCTTAAAGTGAGGTTCTCCCCTTCTGAAAACCCTGAGTATCAGAGAGCCGGGTAGGCTTATTCAGAGTAACTGCCTTCTCAGAGCTTGTTAACCCTCCTTTCTGAAATAGGGCCCAGGACTGCCTGCGTTAATGTTTGTTTACACTTCAGTCCATTTTGTTCTTACTCACTGTGCTAAAACAACATGTTCCTCAGCTGATAAAATGTTTGCTGAGAACAAACAGAAACTGTTTCCAAGGGCTCACAACATCACAACACTCCCCTTTGGTTCTGACAAACAAATAAAATCACACACACACATATATATATATATATATATATATATATATATATATATATATATATATATATATATAGGTTAGGTTACTCGCTTTTTCATGATCAGCTTTCAATGCAAAGGAATGAATTTCAAATGGTTTTACATCCTTTTCCAGACTGATGAGCAGCAAAAGTTGCTTTTCTAAAGTTATTGCTGGTGTATTTCCTCTTTGTGTAACCTTGTCATATTGAATGAATTTCAGCTACAGTAACTTGAAATCATTGTTTTTCCACATCACCCCATCAATCTTCAACATCATCTTGGAGAATCTTTTCTAAATGTTTTCTACAATGTTGCATCAGTTCCTTGAGGTGTGCAGTCAATCATTTCTGCAATGGCATTTTAATCTGGTGGGGAACTGGACTTTAACTGGGTCATTGTATTGTCTTTCTCTTGTTTTCCTGGCTCTGTTACTCACTGGCAGATTACTTTGGGCAGTTTTACAGATAATGAAAAGATAATGAAAGTGCATTTTGTTCTTGATAAATCAACATGAGTGTGTTGTTTTGTTGTTCAGTGTAGTGGAAAGACATGAGAGTTAATTATTAATTATTGCTGTTTCATTTTTCTGCTTTGGTCATGGGTTGGCAGCAATGGACCATTGGAAAGAAAAGCAAAAGCTGTGTGTCTTCCGGTAAAGATGTGGGCTTGAAGGTTTTGTTTTTTATATTAAAATATATGGGTAAGCGTCACTTTGATTTTGACTTTGCTTTGAAATCCCTGTGATTGCTCTCTGAAACTGCTAGCATGAAAAAATCGACTGTTTCAAATCAACACAGACTTGGTACAACTCTCTCCCTTTGCAATCTTGCATCACCTACTTTTCTCTGAACACGATTGAAATGCTGGTTGACAGAGAGCAAAGATTAAGTTTTTCTTTCCAGATTATGTTCTCTAAAGCATGTTACTGTCAGATTTTGAGCCTTAAAGTCAGATGTTACACTCAATGAATGCCTGTTCTTCCAACAACTGCAGATGAACAGTCCAGTACAGAGTAAACACATGCCAGTAGAATCCCTCAATGCATGACTAAATCCCAATTCCCAATTAAACACTTTCCAGTTGCGCTGAACATCCAGATGTTAGATGGTTTCACCGGGGAGCTGACGTGTACAATATGCTGCAAAAAAACAAAACAACTGCTGGAACATGACAACAAACAGATGCTCAGAAAATACAAAGACAGGAAGGAAGAAGGCACCTTCAGATGCAATAAAAAAGACTAAGAAATTAGATAAATCATTAAACATTCAATGATATAATTAATAATCAGCTGTATGTATCAATTTAGTAGCCCTTCACATCACTTAGTACCCATGAAGTAATCCTCAGTTTCAAAAAGGTTAGTGACTCCTTAATTGCACTTTATTACTGGGACTGCTTAATGGAAAATCAGGGTAATCAGTTTCAGGGGTTTGAACTTTAGTTGCAAAAGAGCTTCTTTCTCAACAAAATGGGCTGCAAAGGTTATATTTTCAAAATAAAATAACAAGACAGACAGCAAACAGAGAAAAACATTATGTAGTTTCGATTCCTGATTGTTATTCACAATAAAACAACCACATTAAAATTTCGTTTAAAAGCTGTAAATGGTAAATGCCACTACAGGATTCTACATTTGACAAGACATGATTAAAGTGCATGGAGCCAAAACTCCAGGAAGTTGAAAAACAATAACATTTTTTTTGGCCTGTGGTCAATGTTTTTTCATTGTCTACTTTGCAGTAATTATTTCACAATGCTGTCGCCATGAGGATTTCTCCCAAAGTTCTCACTTGCTGATTCATAATGGATGAAAATAATCTTAACAGGTTCACAGCAGGAGAACTCATCCCAATTTAAGGCGCATTTCAAACTCTTTGAGTTTTTTCACATTTTATCACAACTGTTATGAAGGTCTACAAACAATTCCTAAACATGCAATGTGATTCGAGATCTACAAATACATAATTGCTTCCATTTCTGTATAGCAAAGCGGTTTATCTTAGCATTTAAGCCTACAATGTCTTGAAAAAAATATTGACTCTCCCTTGAACTTTTTCATTTTGTTATATCACAACAAACATTGTTGTATTTTGCTGATATTTTTATGATAGTACGGCACAAAGTAGTGTATAACCGTGCAGTTAAATGAATAAAAAAATAAAATGAATTTTTTTTTTTTTTTTTTTTTTTTTTACAAATTACACCATTGTGGATCTTGCACAGGGAAACTGGTCAGAGTTGATTTTTTTTCTTTATTCCTATGGTAAAATCTGGTGGGTTCAGCATCTTTTTGTGTCAACACCTTTATTCCGCAGGATCAGAGCTGATGAGAGTATTGCTGGAGTTAAATATTGGAAAATTCTGGGATTAATCTGAGACTTAAGACTGGGGTGAAGGTTTACCAACAACCCCAAAGAAGGGGCAGAGTAACAAGCAAAGGAAATGTTTTATATCAAAGCATGTCCATGTTTTAGAATTGTCCCAGGCTAAACCTAAATGCAATTGAGAATTTAAGGGATCTGAATAAATTTGGAAGGCAAATACATATATGTAAGGCAAATGTATTCAGATCCCTGAATATAAGAAGGATATCATATGCATATGATCACTTGCATGTGACCAGTTCTGACTATTTTATTCTGAGACAAACCACTGAAAATCCTCCAAATACAGTAGTCAGTGTCAAGTCAGATGGCAAGAGGAACCATGTAGAACATTTAGCAACAAACAGTACACAATACATCTGTTCTCTTATTCATTGCGCACAACAAAATAGCTATAATGTTCTGCTGTCATAATCTTCAAACTGAATTTTGACATGAGAAAAAAAGGAGGGAAAACATAACAAGTTTCCCTCGTTCTACAGGCTTCTGGAGATGTGTTGTTGCTTTTTTTTTTTTTTTTTTTTTTCATTTTTCTTGGGCCCGGGAGATCCTACTGATACACCTATCATTTTTTCCCTCCTAGGAAAA